AATCTTTGAAGGATGCATTTGAATGGGATGAGAGTAGCATGTGGGGGTTGTCACAAGAGGATAAAATGAATGGAGATGCCTATCTCCTAGAACTGAAAGGGACCTTGGAAAGGTCATTGAGTCCAGTCCCCTGCCTTCACAGCAGGACCAAGTACCATCCCTGACAGATTTTGCCCCAGATCCCTAAATGGCCTCCTCAAGGACTGAACTCACAACGCTGGATTTAGCAGGCCAATGCTCAAACCACTGCTGCCTACTCCAGCCTCCAATTCTAATGATTAATTTGTCCTTTGGGTCACAGATGTAATCACTTCCTTGCCATGTATCATAGTATGATCCAAGCACTGTGGGAGGACATCATCTTCTCCTCAGTCCTGCTTCTTTTGGTAATGAGAAATTTCAGCAGTTACACACAGGACAACAGCCAGCTTCCTAGGATACAGAGGCAGCAGTGTGGTGTGGCTGCTGGCTCACTGGGAGCTGGAGTGGGAACTGCATTTCACCATTTGGGTAACTGTTTATCAGTTACCCATTTAATCAGCTACACTCTTACATCCTTAGTGCATTCTGTGTATTTATTTTGAATTTACAGCTTAGACCATTTTTGTAGCAGTGATTTAATCCAACGAATGTTTGCCTCATTCTGGTGCTTCCTGGGCAAGGTGCTAGGCAGACTGTGATTGATTTACTGAGTAGCATGTTTATAAGTCAGTAAGTGCCTTTAATCACAAGGACATAGGAATTGGGATGCTGGATCAGTCCCTCTTATTCTGGTATCCTCTGGATAGGAACTTAGATGGAGCAACAGAAGAAGCAAAGCTGCTCTACCACCCAGCTGGCATTCTTCCCAAGAAGACACCAGTGGGGCTGTTTCATTCCAAATCTCTTTACGGAGAGGGCTGAGGAGATGTTTCACAAGAGTGAAAACATAATTAACCCATAGGAGTGTTTTTGTACATATCCTAATTCACCTTATAGCACTTTTCGTTAGTATTATGTTCTGAAATAAAAAGCATTCTGCTTTTCTTCAAAAGGCTTTTCCTTAGATAAGACCATTGATTTGTCCACCTCTCCACCTTTGTCACAGAAATAGCACTTACATTGCTAGTAAAATCACATACCAGACTTACTTTCTGCAGCTTGCATATCTAACAAAAATCTGAAGCTTCAGAAGTAGCCATCATGGTGAATTACATGTTTTTAGCTCATTGTTTCATATACTTACAGATTTAGCTATTTAGCTATTCGAGTTTTGCGTGTATATCATGGTTTAAACATCTAGATGGGTATTGAAGCAGGATACTGATTTAGTGTCTCTTGTTGCTAACTCCAGATATGGACAAAGCCATCTGGGGGAAGTCTGCACTATGGGGCAATGTTGACCTAATCTATGAAACTCCAGCTGCATAAATACCATAGCTGGAGTCGACGTAACTTTGGTCATGTTGGTGTGGGGACTCCACTGTGGGGGTGAAAGGGGAGAAACTCTCCCATTGACTTCCCTGATACTTTTTGTTCCTGGTAGCGTATGGAGAGTGATCAGAGGTCAATTGAGCAGGTCTTCACTAGATCTGCTATTGAGCAGGTCTTTGCTAGACCTGCTAAATTGATCCCCAGGAGACTGATCACTGGTAAGTGTAGACATGCCCTTACTTAGTGTTATCTGGCAGATTGACTCCTTTTGTCAGATAGCAAAGGCTAAGTCTTCTGGTGCCAGGTTCAATTCCTCTACCAATCACCCTGCACCTATGGGTATGCAACAAGCATCTGTCTCATTAACATGATAAAATGCAGGGGCCCATATATGGGTAAAGGATACTTGATTTAAAAAGCAAATACATAAAATCTCCCCCTACATCTTCATCTTCTCGTGTATACACATGCTCCCATTGAGGCAGTAGAGCATAAGTACAGACAGTTAGAGGAAACAGCAGGGACTGACACATCTTTCCTGGATTTTTGTTGGCTCTTGTTGGATATTTGGAAACTGTGAAAGTTTGCATGTATTCTCCCATTGCATCCAGGAAATGAATAAGACATACAAGGCCAACTCATGTGCATTGCACCACCTCCCCTCCTCCTCAGCACCTCTTATCAGGGGTACTTGAAGCACTGGGAAAACATTGACCTCTCCCCTTCCCCAACAGATGGGAGAATTCACCTTGTAGGTATAAAAAGTCTGCCCCTGACAAATGTATAGGAGAAGCATCCTTGCTCACTAGTCATTCTCAGGTGGTGCATGCTCTCTTTCTTTGTAGGCTTGCTGAAGAAGCTAAGGCGTATCAGGAAACAAATGGATTAAGTTTCCCCTGCAAGCTGTACTGTAGTTAACTATTAGTGTCAATCTAAATCTGTGCATTAATGACAACAGTGATTTGGAATTGTTGAAAAATTTGTCAGGATTACACTTTTTGTGGGACACGAATGATTGTGATAATCTACATGATTTTTTTTCTCCTCTGTCCTTTACTCCCATTGAAATGCTGTGAATTACACTAAATAACTGTCTTTCCTAATGAACACTGACTTTTTTGTAAGTTGTACAGAGGAAGTAGAAAAAAATGCTCTGATTTAATTCCTTGTTTCGTGAAACAAGATTTGTTTCTTTGCTTAACTTTAATAAACAAACTCCTGACGTATAAAAATGATTATTTTGAACCGGTTGCTATAGACTTACATTTTTAATGTTATCAACTAGTAGATGTAGAATAAAGACCTAGTCTTGCTCCCACTGGAGCTCCCATTTATCTCACTGGAAGCAAGATCAGATCCTATACTTTAGGTAATATAGATTTTGTTGAACTGGTTGCTCTAAAATATAGATAAACCTCTTTTTAATCATTCTTTTCTATTAACCTCCTTCCCCCTATGTGGAAAAATACTATCCCTGGTCACTGGTCACTTGAGTTTGGATTGCATACATTATTCTGACACATAAGTTCTTCCTGATTCTTCAGGTTTTATTCACTGCAACATTTAATATTTGTCCTTTTTCTGTTGAGTCTTACACCTGAAAATCTTGTTTCCTGATTGAAATGGGAGTGCTCTAAGGGATGGGGCAAATTTTAACAGCAAAGCTCAGCCTGAGAAGAGATTTGGCAAATATGCCAGATAGTCAAGTGTTTGACCTCCCCTTCATGGAAAAATCTAAAGAGTGGGATACACCCTTGCTCTATTTTTGCACCTAGAGAATGTGCGATCCATAAATAATAACAGAGGAGCACCATAAGGAAATATGTGTGTACTATAAATAAGCCCCATGGGCTTTAAGCCATATTTCAGGGCTGTAACATAATCACAGGTTTGGGGTGCTTTTATAACCTGAGAGCAGGCTCCTCGGTGGTACAGATTCCTTATATGCTTTCTGCAAACAGTCATTGACAACCTGTCAGTTTTGCTATCTTGTTAAAAGAAGTGCATATCAGCTATAGCCAGTATCAGTCATTTATTACATCACTCTTTTGTTACAGGAGGGGTGTATATGTTATAAGTCTCGGGCTGTCCCTACTGATAGGGGTGCCCTACCCAGCCCAAGGACCTGCACCCCCCCACAGAGAGGAGGGGGCTGCACTCGAGGGCTTGGGGCCAATGGCGCAGGAGCTTCAGGGGGCAGATACTTGCAGGAGCAGAGCAGGGAGGCTCACCTGAGGACAGGGAAGCAGGCAGGAGGCCGCAAGAGTGACAGTTTTCCCTTTTGCTGGGGAAACAGCTTTTGTGCAGCCCCTGCTGCAGGGCCAGGATTCCCCACTAATCCCTTGGTCTTTGTCTCTTGGAGGAGGGAGTTTCATGGAAGGGTGGAATGGGGATGGGGTGCGGGGCGTGCACCTACTTATGCATGGGCCTGCTGGCCACAGCCTGCAAGTGGGGCCAGGCAGGGGCTGCAGCTGGCTGCCTGAGTCAGAAGTGCTGCATACACAGCATGCAGCTGTCTAGGGCACCAAGAAATTTGGGACAATTTGGTACCCCACATTTCACAGTGCCTTGTGTAGTTGCATATTTTGCGTATTGGTAGGGACAGCTCTGGTAGCTCTGCTTTTGGAAAGAGTCTTATTGGATTGGCATGCTCCACCTTGTATTTTAAGCTAGTTTATAAGTCTTTTTGGGGGGGGGAATCACTCCTTTTTGAACCCAGAGAATTTAGTGAGAAAACAATTGTGTTTGTTTATAGATTTTGAGGACAACTCAATGTAGAAGTCATATTTTTAAAAAACCCTAAACATAGATGTTTTACCCACAGACTGTGGTTTTCTAGTTTCATTTCCCCCTCTCTATTTAATTCAGCATTTTAAGTGCAGAAAATGAACATACAGTAATCACTTGTTGCTATTTAAAAATGTGAGTGCCTGTATTAATTTTATTCTGTGTCTATATTCTGGGTGATCACGATGTAATAGCCTCGTTTTATGTTTTTAAAAGTTATAATGTTTCATTCATATGTGTTTAAAACATATTGTCTTTGCATGTATAGGGCCAAATTCTTAGAGCTATCCAAAGGGTCCTTTCAACAGGACAAATAAACATGCTTTAGAGAATCACCATTCATATGCGGTGTTCTGGAAGGTAGTAGCCTTCCCCACTGCAACATTTTTTTTTTTTTTGCTTTTTTTGCCCCAAATTAGCTCCTGCCAGGAGCCTGACTGATCTACTCCTGGGCTACTAATGAATAAAGCCATCTGTGAGTCAGAGAAACTGACACATACTCAGACACCCAGAGTTACTTAGATAACTAGGCTGTGTCCCAGAATATGTCTTTGCGGCTCCTATTGCAATGGAGTGGACTCTGTATTTTGAGGAGAGCCAGAAAGGGGGAACTTTCATTCTCTTGATGCTAACAGTGATTTCTCTGGTGGATACCTTTGCACAGGTATATTTTTACATATACATTAGTTCCAGGCTGGTGGTTGACTTGTGTCAGTTTTCTTTAATACTGAACATCTCTGAGGTGAAGAAAAGCAAAACACACAGAGAGGTGCATTATTGTCATTATTTTTTTAATGCAGATCACTGGATGGCCGGTTGCAAGTATCCCACCGTAAAGGGCTTCCCCACGTGATCTACTGCCGGCTATGGCGGTGGCCTGACCTTCATAGCCACCATGAGCTGCGTGCCATGGAGATGTGCGAGTATGCCTTTAACATGAAGAAAGATGAAGTCTGTGTCAACCCCTATCACTACCAAAGAGTGGAGACACCAGGTATTGTGGTATTCCGAATATTTCAGCTTTTCCCTGCAAGGGCAGGAGTCTGCTTAAAGTTTCAGGACAAAACAAAAATAAGATCTGTGGTGTTTTAAAACCAAAGGGTTTCTGTTATGAGGTTTCACTTCTTGTGGTGAAATAATGCATCTATCCACATCTTCATTTATGCAGAATAGAGGGAATTTTCAGCACACACAAATCAACAAAATCCAAGTCTAAGTAGATTGCACCGCTGCCACGTTCCAGACCTATTATTTGTATGCACATATACAGGGTTCGGCAGCCTTTTCGAACCAAAGAGCCAAACTCGATCAAAATTCAGAACAAATGGTCAACAAAGAGCCGTATAAGAATGCCCATTTTTATGACTGAAAATCTACAGCTTAATATTGTTAATTGATATGAAGATTAATAACAGGATAAATGAAACATTGTTCTCACAGCCTTTTAATTAATGGGACGTCTGCTGCTTCATCTTTTCACACATTTCTTTGAAGTTTATATCATAAATGGGAAAAAATTTAGCTTCATGCAGGCGTTCCGACTGTCTTCTGTCAATCTTACGGCAGGGGGCTAGGGATGTGGGGGTGCAGGAGTCTGCGTTAGGGTGAATGAGGGGCTCAGGGCAGGGAGTCTGGGTGTATGATGGACTCAGGGCACAGTGTTGGGATGTGGGGGATGCAGGAGTGTTACGGCAGGGGCTAGGGATTTGGCGGTGCAAGAGTCTGGTTTGGGGTATATGAGGGGCTCAAGGCAGGGGGTTTGGGTGATTGAGCGGCTCAGGGCAAAAGGTTGGAGGGGTGAAAGTAGGGAGGATGAGAGAGTAGCTGGAGGAAGAGAGATGGGGTGGGTCCTCCAGTGGTCTAATGGATAAGGCATCAGCCCCCAGAGCCTGGGGCTGTGGGCTCAAGTCCACCTGCCTACCCTGGAAGCAGCAGGGCAAGGCAAGCAGCCTGCCCTGGAGCTCTGGTGGGGCAGCCACCATACACCCCACTGTGTGCCATAGTTGGCATTTTTTGTTTTAATTTAAAAAGTTGCATGTGCTTGGGGAATGACAAAAGAGCCATATTTGGTTCCATACTGAGCCATATTTGGCTTGAGAGCTATAGGTTGCTGACCCTGCCCATATAGATAGGATCCAAACTTTAATCTTTCTGGGGCATTGTCTGTGTGTTTAAATAACAATAAAGTTCCTGCCGGATCCTGCTGAGTGTAGCTGTTTCCAAGGATGGCTCCCTGCACAAACTCTCTTATCTGTTTCTAGCATCCTGTGCCTTAGAGAGATTCAAACACTCTCTTAAGCTGTGTCTAGATTACACCTCTCTGTCAACAGAGAGATGTAGATTAGGCATGTCGAAATTGCTAATGAAGCACAGATTTAAATATCTTGTGCTTCATTAGCATAAACATGGCCACTGCTTTTTTTCAAAATGGAGCTTTTTTGGAAAAAAACCGGCAGTCTAGATGCGGATCTTTCAAAAAATAAACCCTTTTTCCAAAGATCTTGTAGACCTCATTGTATGAGGGATAAGGGATCTTTCAAAAAAAAGGTTTATTTGTCAAAAGATCTGTGTCTAGACTGCGGGTTTTTTCCCCGAAAAAACTCCATTTCGAAAAAAAGCGGTGGCCATGTTTATGCTAATGAAGCACAGGATATTTAAATCCCTGCTTCATTAGCAGTTTCAACATGCCTAATCTACATATCTCTGTCGACAGAGAGGTGTAGTCTGGACACAACCTCAGATCCATAATTGTAGGATATAAGACTAGAACTTTCTTGTCTATTTTTTCAGTGTCAGTCAGCAGAACAGTCCTAAATTTCAAGAATATTAACTCTGCTCCAATTTAGCACATTTTTTTTCTGTCTCCTGTTGTATTATTTCTTCTCTGACTGTCTCTCAGATTGCTAATATCTCCGGGCAGGGATTTTCTTCATTTTTGTTTCTCATACAGCACCAGAATTTTTGTCAGCAACTTACAAATAGGAATATTTCACGACTAGCCTTTCTTAGAGCCACTAGTTCTGAATGCTGGTTGGAGTTAACTGGGGCTACGTCTAGACTACAAAGGTAAGTTGGAAAAAGATATGCAAATTGTGAACCGCAGTTTGGTATCTTTTTCTGCTTTTCTGTCAAAAGAGGCTTTTCCAAAATTTGGCACATGTACATGGTGCCAAATTTCAGGAAAACCTGCTCTTTGGACACATCTCTTCTTCCTTGTAGAACGAGGTTTACAGGGATGGCGAAAGAGCTTATCCGCTTTTCCAAAAAAATTTCGGAAAAGCAGACACATTCCTTGGATGTGGCATTGCTTTTCTGGGATACCTCTGATATCCCGGAACAGCACTGCAGTCTAGACGTAGCCTGAGTGTATATGTGTGTGTGTGTGTGTTATTCTGAGGAGTGGATTTCTCCTGAGTTTCCAGTATTTCATGTTGGTGTAAGGTGTCATGTTATAGACTTGCTGCTATAATGTTGCTGTTCTGCTCTGTTTTCTTTCCTTCTGTGTAGTTTTACCTCCAGTGCTGGTACCAAGGCACACAGAGATTCCAGCAGAGTTCCCGCCATTAGATGATTATAGTCATTCCATTCCAGAGAACACTAACTTCCCGGCAGGTATTGAGCCACAAAGCAACTACATTCCAGGTACTGTATTGCCTCCATCTAGCAACAAAGGGTGTGAAGAAAGGATCTGTTGCCCAGTTAATGTCTGATATACATGTCCTACAGGTTTAATATTAGGCCCCAAGAGTTCATATGGCACATTGGCTGAGCTCTGGTTTTTTTCCATTCCATCATTACCTACCTTATTTATTTTTATAACTCCTGGCCTCCCTAACTGGCTGAACCAGATTGTGTTCAGATCTGGAGGTAGACAGAACCAATGGCTAATCTCTGATTTTAGCACAGTGGTATATGAATGCTATCAGCCAAAAATGTACGCGCTGCTGTTTAAATGCTTTGCTGTATATCTTGTTCTGCCCCCTCAGTAGGGAAGGTTTAAATATATTGCAGATTCTAGTCCTGTGAACTTTCTCAAAGTAAATTCAGATTCAAACTAGGGATATATGCAACTAGTTGACTGCTTGATAAGCATATACTTATTGGGTAGTCGAGTAGTGACACAACTAGTTGCTTCCTCCCTCTCCCCCCTTTGCTGCCTCTAACAGAGAAAGGCAGAAAAAGGGGGAGCAGGAGCCAGTGCTTGGGGGAGCTGGCTTAAAAGCCAGTTCCCCCCAGCACCATCTCAACAGGGGGAAAGGTGCAGGAAAGGTAGAGGCGTAATAGGAGGACCAGGCACGAGCCGGGAATCAGCTGTCCCAGTTTGCACCGGGTTCCAAATGCTGCGCCTCTGCTTTTTAAATATATTAAGAGCCACCAGGGACCAGGACAGATTCCCAGCTCACACACGGTCGCCCTCCTATGCTTCTGCCTTTTAAATGTATTAAGAGCCTAGCAGCTCTTAATACATTTAAAAGGCAGAACCCAGGACCTACCCCCACTATAACTCTGCAGTTTCCCCCCTTATCAACTAATCGAGTTGTCGATGGAAATTCCACATTTGGATTCGCCTTTGTGAATTTGAAAAAGCTGTTTAGCGTATCTTACTGTATATCTACATCAGGGTGTGTGCCCTACAGCTCAGCTATACTGGCAGTCCAGGATGGTGCTGTTTAGAGAAGAGAAAAACAGGAAGAAGGAAAACCTTCAAAAATCATTATAAAATTTTATAATCTGACACACAAATCCTGACTTTCTGCTTTATCATCATAAAGAGGGTCCCTATGGCTTCTACTCTCCTTGTTGTGCCCTGTCCACGTTTAAGGCATTTTCTTGGTCGGCTATGAATATCAAAATGAACTTCTTTGATCTCAAATATCTGGACTCTGCAATAAGCTGTAATAACAATTTGATCTCTTCCTGATTTCCAGAGACACCTCCTCCAGGTTATTTGAGTGAGGATGGAGAAACCAGTGACCACCAGATGAACCACAGCATGGATGCAGGTGGGACATCTTTGGCCTTTTCTTGTATCTTTAGGGGTCAAATCCTGAGACTCTTACTTAGTCGTTAGGCTACCAGCAAGTAAGGAGGGCCTTGGCAACTGATGCTATATTTTAAAATATGTCATTATGTTGCATGTTTATTAGTTACCTTATTACCTGTAAAGAATTTTGGTTTGGAGGCCATTTTTATATCTAGGCTTCTCTTTGGAGTGCTGATGAGTACATGGTGGTTGGAAGCTTTTGACAGTGCAGAACAGATGCAGTATGGATTCCACAGGGAGGCTTACACTGTATAGCATGTCTTAAACTCAGGAAAAAGGTCTCAGAGGAGTAGCTGTGTTAGTATGTATCTGCTGCAATAAAGAGAAGTCTTGTGGTGCCTTAGACACCATGCCCTAATACATTTGTTAGTCTGCAGGGTACCACAGGACTCCTTATTGTTTTCCCATGGGAAAAGGTTCACCATACACTCTGGTTCTCCAGAATACCTGCTGCTAGACACTATCAAGCCGGAGAGTGGAGCACTGACTACTATTTCCCCTCCTTTGCAATCAGGAGTTCTAGTGTCAGCATTTAGTCTGGGCCCTTATTATTAGGACTGAGTACGCATGCCCAAATTGTGTACCCAGTCAGCACATTCACTGAAAGCAATGGTGTGACCAGACAACGTTTTTGCCCTTGTAAATGGCCAAGTAAGTGTGTTTGAATATACGACCATGACTATTTAAACTTTCAGAGACTGCATTCTTTGTGGTTAGCAAGTGTTCCCCAATAAAGGATAAGGCCCTTTCTTGGTTTCTGTGTAGCATTTAAACAAGTAGTGATGGTCTGTTTTTCAAATGATCTGCTCTTAGAACTAGTGCTAAGATCTATGAATAATTTTGATCGTTAAAAATGAGGGCCTACAGCCCTTACTCACATAAGCAATTCTTACCCAAGACATCCTGATGATGTTGGAGTTACCCTTATGAATAAGAGTTGTTGAATCCATCCCTCAGGTTGTAAAAGCTGTGGTGGAAAAGCAAAGATACATCTGGCTAAAATGGTTACTGCTTTACAAGAGAAATGCACAAGTATGGGCTGCATTCAAAGAGAGATAGAAATGCAGGCCCTAATTAATGCAAACACTGCCCACAGTCCATTCCCTTTGTGTGTGGGTGGCTCTTGGACTTCAGAGCGCATGTGGGATTCTAAAAGAGGAATGACAGATGTACAGTCTTCCTCCACAATGATACAGATAGAGAAAGGCAAGTGTGGGTTTGTTTGTCCATATCAAATGTGGGCCTACTGACACAATCCATTTTGGTGCATACAATTATTGGTACTGTGGTTGACATCCGGAATGTAAATAGGGCCTTTTGGGGTAAAATACTGGAACAGAGTTGACCAAGATACCATAAATGCCCTACTTGTGTTCAAATGCTATATCCGGTCTCTCTCTGGATCCTCCACTCCCTGAAATGTCGTGAACTTTGTTCTTTTTATAAAAACAGATTTTTAAAAAGCTAACAGAGTTTGTTGAAAGGCAGGACTCTCTGCAACATGCTCTCATACCAGCCAAGCCTTCATATTTTCTTGCAGAGCTCCAGTGTAGTGCCTCTTTTTTGGTAGTTGGAGCACATTCTGTTTTAGATGTTCAACGCGTATGTGCATATTTCCCCATACAGAATTAGGATGATAAAACCTACAAAATTGTGCATACACATTTACTTTTAATCACCTAATTCTCCATGGCCCTTACTTATATGGCAATTGACATCAGAGCAAAGTGAGCACAACATGTTACAAGGCTGATCTGATAGTGAGTTACTCACTTTCCAATCATTTTGTGCTGGTGTAAATAAATTAGGGATGTTAGAGTTTAACTGACTAACTGTTTAACTGATAAGCTGAGGCTTATCTGTTAATGGTTCCAGTTAAACTCAGCTGGCTCCCAGGAAGGTGACTTCACTGTGGCAGGGCAGCGAAGCCTCTTCCTCGAGAGCCGGACAGGTAGGTGCTCCCTGCTCCACTCCTAAGAAGGAAGCTTTGCTGCAGATTCCGCAGTATAAAGCTCAGCTTTGTATACTGCAGAGCCCGCATCGCATGTAACTGCTAAGATTTGTAGTGGCTACACGGGTCCCATATTGAATGCTTTTTAACATCCCTAAAATAAATACATAAAGCTGCAGTTGTCAAAGTAGTTACCTTTGTATGTAACTGCCCTGCTGTCACATATAGTCCTAGTAATGGCACATGCAAATAAAGCACACATGCCTGCGTGCACAGTTTTGAAAAACTGCATCTTTGGTAAATGAAGACAAGAAACGGTGTAAAGATTCTTAGCAATGTCACTTTGTGTCATAGTAATAGTATTTATGAGCCTGCATAAATAAAAATAATTGGCTATTTAGGAAACAAGAAGTCTTGCTTTCCCTAATCACAGAATGAAGTTCAACTGGGGCACGGGATCTTTAAGTATTCCAAGATTGTTACATATTACAAGAGAGTAGTTATCAGTGGTTCATAGTTATGCTGGAAGTGGGGACAATGAGTGGGGTCCAATAGGGATCAGTTCCGGATCTGGTTCTGTTTAATGACTTCATCAGTGATGTAGATAATGGCACAGAGAGGACGTTTATGCAGTTTGTGGATGATACGAAGCTGGGAGGTATTGAAAGTGATTTTGAGGATATTTAGGGTTGTAATTCAAATGATTTGGACAAACTGGAGTAATGGTCTGAAGTAAATAGGATGAAATTCAATAGGGATAAATGCAAAGTTACTCCACTTAGGAAGGAACAATTAAGTGCACACATATAAAATGGGAAATGACTGCCTAGGAAGGAGTACTGTGGAAAGGGATCTGGGGATCATAGTGGACCACTAGCTAAATACGCGTCAACAGTATAACACTGTTACGTGCCGGGGAAAAGAAAAAAAAAAGGAACAAATCTCACTGAG